CTACCACTGAACTACATCCCCAGCCCTTTTAATTTTTTTTTTTTTTTTTGAGACAGAGTTTTGCTAAGTTACATAGGGCTTCGCTAGGTTGCTGAGGCTGGCTTTGAACTTGCAATCCTCCTGCCTCAGCCTCCAGAGTTGCTGGGATTACAAGCATGTGCTATCGCACCCTGTTTCCTTAATCTGTTAATGGGAAGAAATTCATCCATAGACCTCTTATCTTTGAACATCTTTTATTCCTGAGATAAACTCAATATGAAGTAATTTTTTAAAATAACTGTTAGATAAAAATTTGCTAATACATTAATTAAGAACTTTACATTTATATTCATACATAAGATGGACAATAATTTTCCTTTCTTGTACTATCTGTGATAACAAAGCAGTATAATTTCCAAATGTTCGTTGAGCACTTAATATCTGAAAGTATGAAATGAAGGGCTGGAAGTATCCTACCCTAATAGAGGTCAAAGTTTAGGGAAAAAATAAAAAACATAATTAATTACAAAATGAATCAGACATAACCACTGTGGTAAATGCTAAGAAAATGCAGTACAGAGTCAGGATGTCAAATAAGATTGAGATAGTTGAAAAAATTTGCTCTGGGGCTGGGGTTGCAGCTCAGTGGTAGAGCACTTGCCTAGCATGTGTGAGGCACTGGGTTCAATTCTCAACACCACATATAAATAAGTAAAATAAAGGCCACTGACAACTAAAAAAAAAAAAGTATTAAAAAAATTCCCTCTGAAGAAGAAGGACACTAAGCCAACTCTTTATTAGTTTTCTGTTGCAACATAATAAATAATTGCAAACAGTGGCTTTAAGTAATTTTGAGGATTTAACAGAGATTTTATTAACAGTTCAGATGCTTTATTATAAAAAAACAGAAAAACGAATTCAACATGACATAGGTCTCAGACTTAAATATGCATTAGCATTACCCCAGGGTTTTTTTTTTTTTTTTTTTTTTTTTTTTAAAAACATATTTATTTATTTATTTATTTTTTTAATTATTGGCAGACACAACATCTTTGTTGGTATGTGGTGCTGAGGATTGAACCCGGGCCGCACGCATGCCAGACAAGCGTGCTACCACTTGAGCCACATCCCCAGCCCTACCCCAGGGTTTTTTAAACCCCATCATAGCCTCCAATTCAATCCCTGGTACAAAAAAAAAAAAAAACAACAGTGGATTTTTGAGTCCAGTCACACCAGTGCACCTGGTGTGCCTGCGCCCCCTCTGTCCTATCAGGGTGTAGATCACACACTGCTTCTCCTCATAGACTGGCTCAGGGTTCCAGCATATATCTTCAGCGCCTATGGAGTCACTGGTCATGAGCTGTCTACTTCCTTTGTAAACTCCTTGAGGGGAGGAGGTGGATCCTTAACCCTGTCTTCCTAACACATTTCTATCTCAAAGGGATTGCACAAATAAATTCTTGGGTGATGAAACTATTCTATATTCTACTGTAGTAGTTGCACAAATCTGTACACATGCTGTAATTCATAGACCTGTACACCAAAAAGTCTCTTTTAATGTAAGACAATTCACAAAAGGAGAATTTTTTAAATGGGTCAACTTAAACTTGAAACACTGACTAGGTATTTGAGGAAAGGAAGTAATTATTGTAGTTATTTTTATGGGTAATAATGGCATTATGTTTACTTTTAAGTCCTTATATCTTAAAGATATCTTAAGTCCTTATATCTAAACGCATTTAAGCATTTAAGGACAAAATTATAGGAAGTATGATATTTGGTTAAAAATAATACTGGAGGGCTGGGGATGTGGCTCAAGCGGTAGCACGCTCGCCTGGCATGCGTGCGGCCCGGGTTCGATCCTCAGCACCACATACAAACAAAGATGTTGTGTCCACTGAAAACTAAAAAAAAATAAAATAAAATAAAAATAAAAATAATACTGGAGAAGGGAAATGGGTGGGGCACAAATGAAACAAGCCTGACCATGAGTTAATAGTTATTGAAGGTGGGCAATGGGTAATGAGGCTTTGTACTTTGGTCTACCTTTGTGTATGCTTAAGCTTCCTTACTAGGAACATTTAAAAGGGGGCAGTTGGGTTGTTAGCCTTCCATATCAGGCTGCCTGGTATGCCACTTGACTTTGACACTTAGCTGACTTCGAGCAAGCTACTAATAATCCTACACTTCAATCTCTCCATCCATAATATGAAGATAGTCATGATAATATCTCTTTCACAGGTTGTTATCAGGATTAAATGATTGTCAGAATATGTAAAAAGCAATTTACCTAGCTCTTGCACATGCTGAATAAATGTCAACTTTTTTTAATCATTATTGCAACTTCTGGTCTGATTCTTGCATACCATATCCCCTATATGAGCAGGTCTTTCTTTAAGATTCTTCCTGGATATCCTATGGTATTTCAAAAGGATCACTTTATTTTATGCCCTCCTTGAGAATTATGAAGCACATCTTAGAATTTTAACTTCCCCTGCACAGTACATTATATATTCTATTCTTCATTTTATTACTTATCCAGGAAGAAAACCTAAACTTAAAAGATTGGATTTTTTATTTATTTTTTTAAATTAATTAATTTTTTTTGTTGATTGCATCTTTTTTTTTCTTTTTTTATTGGTTATTCAAAACATTACAAAGCTCTTGACATATCATATTTCATACATTTGATTCAATGGGTTATGAACTCCCATTTTTACCCCGAATCCCTTTGTTCTTCCAAACAAGGAGTATATGAAAGATTATTATGAGTTATGATGAAGTGGAATTTATCTCCTGGGCTGACATCATAGAACCACAGAATCTGAGACTGGAAAGACATGTGAGATTATCTGGTCCATTCTGTGACTCAGGGCAGCAACCCTCTCCAGCACTTCTTCAGCACCCATTTTCAGGACTAAGGATCTCACTCAGGGTTGCTGAGACCCTATAGCTAAAGTTTCCAGGATAAGAGCCTTTTCTTATATATCCTGATTCCCAGCAACATACTCATACGAGTTAAAATGTGACCCTTTGAATGGTAGTTATGCCCACCTTTCATTCTCTACCTCTCCCTCCCCTGCCACATCCTTTATCCAGTAAAGGGAAGAAGACTGGAATCCCTCCAGCCAGAACTGGACAATGGCAAGGATCAGTAGTTGGCTTCTTAGCTACTCCAGCAGTGGGGGTGTCAGAAGTCCCAGAACATAATCCCTTCAGTCTCTCCAAATAGAAAAGGGAAAGATCCCTCCCTTTCCCTCTTCAACCCTTCTTTCCCACACAGCGTGGCACACTAACTTCCTATACAGATAGCTTCAAAAATTCAGAGGGAGCCAGGCACAATGGTGTGTGCCTATAATCCCAGAGACTGGAGAGGTTGAGGCAGAAGGATCGCAAATTTGAGGACAACTTGGCAATTTGGTGAGAATCTGTCTCAAAATAAAAATAAAAGAGAGCTGTGCCCAGTTGCTGGGTGGGGGGGGGGCAGGGGGCGGGCTGAGGCAGGAGGATCACAAGTTCAAAGCCAGCCTCAGCAACTTAGTGAGGCCCTAAGCAACTCAGCAAGACTTTGTCTCTCAAAAAATATATAAAAGGGCAGGGCATGGTGGCGCATGCTGTAATCCCAGCAGCTCTGGAGTCTGAGACAGGAGGATGGTACTTTAAAATCAGCCTCAGCAACAGCGAGGCACTAAGCAATTCAGTGAGACCCTATCTCTAAATAAAATACAAAATAGGGCTGTGGGTGTGGCTCAATGGTTAAGCACCTCTGGGTTCAATCCCCAGTGTGTGTGTGTGTGTGTGTGTGTGTGTGTGTGTATGAAGAGCTGTGGATGTAGCTTACTGGTAGATAGCCCTAGGTTAAACCCCCAGTACCATCACCAAAAGAGAAAAAAAAAAAAAGATGGAGATGTACCCAGATCTGAGTGACATTTTCAGCTAGCTCATAAAGAAAAGAAAGCATCTTTAGGATCATTCAACAGAGTACCCCAACTACAACTGAAAACAAGATTCCAATGTCCCTACCACCCTGATGGCATTAATTTAGGCTGTTGACAATGATATTTATGGAAATCTCATCCATCGCTGTACTTCAAAGAGCAAATGTCATTCATTCTAGTTGAGAAACTTGCATGTAAGAAAGGATGTTAATCTTGGCAAATCTGTAGTTCCAACGACTCCCAGTGTCTATTTCTTACTACTCCTGTTCCAAGCTTCTGCTGCCAACAGAACTCAGTCCCAAAACCCTAAATGAGCCTCCAGTAGCTTCCATCTGTTGAATAATTTACCCTATGACAGGCAATACACTAAGCATGTTAACATTTCGAATCAAAGTCTCACAACAACTCTATAAACTAAATACTACCTAATAGGCGATAATATATATCCATCCAAGATGGAGAAACTCAGAGTTGATCAAGTTGTTTTAGGTCACAGAGTCAATATGTGCTAGAGGTGCAATTCTTGTTCAGTACAGTCTGACTCCAAAGCCCATGTCTTTGAGAAGAGAGAACACAGATTAGGACCCAAAGGAAGCTTTTGAGTAATACTGGATGACTTGGCACTGGGAACAAAACCAATCTTTTGCTCAGAGAGACCAGGAAATGAAGTTGCCATGCCCTGTTCCTTCCTGAACAGTCCTTCCAATTGTCTTGCTTCAATTTAACCTGCTGGAAAAACGAAGGTAGCTACATGATGATTAATTTTCCCTTCTCTGACTCAAATGCTACATTTTCCATGAACGATTCTTAGATTCAAAGAGTTCCAATTGTCCAACTTAGAGTGATTCTGTGTTAAAACAGAAATGCCATCCTGCTCTGGCATAGTGGATCCAAACAGCAGAGACCAGAAGGCTGGAATGGAGCCGCTCGAGCTGCAGTCTTGTAAGCTCTTGGACAAGCCTAGAGATGCTCGGCGTCGCCCAGGGAGGGAAAGCGGGGCGGGCCAAAGAGCAGGCCAACCCCGCCTCCTACAGGCCCCGCCTCTTATGGACCACGCCTCCTGCCAAGCTCCTCCCCCGGGCCCGCCCCGAGGCGCATTGTGGGATCTGTCTGCCTGCAGGGTGGTGGAGGACGCTGCGCTTGGTCATGGGGATCCAGCCGGTGAGACCCTCCCTCGGTATCCTGCACCTGGGAACCCCGCCCCTCTAGTTTTGGGCACTCAGCTCAGGACCAGGGACTCCCACGGCCGACCCCGCCCTACAGGGCTCCAGACCCGCCCTGGATGCTGGGGTCCCCGTATTACCCTCCCATCTTGGGGACCCTACCCTCTGGCTTTGGCATGCTTTCGAGTTGGAGTGCGGGATCATCACCCCTGGGGCGCTTGGTCGTACATTCCCGTCACCACCCACGCCCTGGGCTCTTCCCCAGCCTGGCGGTCAAGCTACCTCCTCTACCCACAGAGCTCAGCCCTGCTGGCTTCGCTGGGGGTGGGGCTGCTTACTCTGCTCGGCTTGGCTGTGGGCACCTACTTGGTTCGAAGGTCCCGCCGGCCCCAGGTTACTCTCCTGCACCCGGATGAGAAGTACCTGCTGCGACTGCTGGACAAGACGGTAAGCTGTGGAGAAAGGGTCCAGTGTAGAAAGGGGACCTGAGTTCTACTAGTATAAAAGGGATAGATAGCATTCATGGTGGTTGGGATGCCCAAGGGAGTGGCAACCAGTCCCACTTAGTGAAATACTTGTGTCATCCATCCTCCAGACCGTGAGCCACAACACCAAGAGGTTCCGCTTTGCCCTGCCCACCGCCCACCACATTCTGGGGCTGCCTGTGGGTAAGGAAAGTGTGCAGTGGGCTTTCCCTGGGATCCTAGGAGGGAGATTCTCCTGGGGTCTGGTGAGATACGTTGCTTCTATCTTTTTCCTCCACACGACATTGCCCTTCCTTCACTTAGCTCTGGATCCTTCAGGCTGTGAGGTGCCACTAGGTACCTTTAGGGTGTGGCTTCTGTGTCCCCACCCATCTTTACTACTCAACAGCTCTCCCTATTTCCCAGAGGACTTGCTTATAACTCCCTCTGAGCAAACACTAACTTTTCCTGTTACCCAGACCCTCAGCTTACCTGCCCCTGCCAAGGTCCTGGTAGTAATTGTTAAGAGTTTCCCCAACAGAGAGGCTGGAGAGAGGTCCAGCTGAGGGCTGTGTGGGCTGAATCCTCCCTGCCTGGCAGCTCCTTGGGACTTCAGCAGGAAGCAAGACAGCCTGTTCTCTCAAACCTCTCTGGGTAAAAAGTAACAGGGTTGTGGCACATCCACTATAAGCCCTTACATGGCTCTCCACATGGTCTCCAGGCAAACATGTCTACCTGTCTGCCCGAATCGATGGCAGCCTGGTCATCAGGCCGTACACTCCTGTCACCAGTGATGAGGACCAAGGCTACGTGGATCTTGTCATCAAGGTAAGGGTGTAGGAAGGAACCCCAGAGGCACCTCACCCCACTCTTTCTGGAATTTGTAGAAACTTCTCTGATTTGTTTGATGTCAGGAGAAGGCATGTCCTTTGTGGATATGAGGAAAGTATGTGGACTTGGAAAAGCTAGCATGTGTATGAGCCCTGTTCCAGCCTGTTTCAGTGACATTCTAAATCAGGTATTTTTCTCTTGGTCTTATCAGGTCTATCTGAAGGGTGTGCACCCAAAATTTCCTGAGGGCGGGAAGATGTCTCAGTACCTGGACAGTCTGAAGATTGGGGATGTGGTGGAATTCCGGGGGCCAAGTGGACTGCTCACTTACACTGGGAAAGGTAATGACCTGTCTTCTCCTCCAGCCTGCCACCCCCTGCTCTAGCTCCATAGTCTTAGCACAGTATGACTGTGCATGCCCGAGTGTGTGTACATGTATAAGGGTCAAAGCTGCCCTTCCTTCCAATCTCAACTCTGATGCACAGAAAGGCCTATTTCTTGGCCCCATTTGCCACAGGAAGTAGGTCTCCATCCAACTGAATTCAGCAGCCATGACAGATAGCTGGGGGGATTACCAAAGCAAACATGCCTCTCTTCCCCTCCCTCCAAGATTCACCCTTCAGGCTGAGCTCTGGAGAGAGCTTTTAGCCCTCCCCATGGGAACAGCTGGGTGCATTATTAGCAAGGCCCTGGAAGTGTTCTGTGTCTCTAGGGAAACTATATTCACACCTGGCCCTGTGCCTGTCACTGTCACCAAGGATCACCCTCTGCCAAAAGTTGCTGATATTCACTGTGTGATCCTGAACTGAGTGGTAGACAGATAGCTGTGGCCCCATTGTCCTTCAAGTGTATTATTGTCAGAGCTTACTCAACACAACCCCCACCCAAGTTCCAGGATCAGATTTCATAGCAGCTGCTCAACTGGCCGTTGGGCATATTTTCAATTTGGCATTTGTTTACTTAGTTTTCTATTTTGACTTTGTTCTTCTCCTCCTCTCTTCACTTGACTTCTCAGGGAATTTTAACATTCAGCCCAATAAGAAATCGCCACCAGAACCCCGAAAGGCCAAGAAACTGGGAATGATCGCTGGAGGGACAGGTTCGTGTCACTTGAGGGGCCATTCTCTCCCACCTTGTTGGCTGTTGCCATTCAGACTCCTAAATGGCCTCAGGAGATTTGATGATCATAGCCAAGCTGGTAATCAGGGGTCCCTAGCAATGCCAAACCTCCCCAGTAAGTCAAAAACAAAACCATAAACAATAAAAACAACAACAACAAAAAAGTTAACTGGTAAAATGAGAACAATAAATCAGGTGGGCTCTCCTCAAGTTGAATGAATCTAATAATTTTTAGGTGAAAGTAGAAAGAAATAGCTCAGAATAGTCAAGAAAGAAAATTAGGATTGGATACTACTATATATTCAACATGGTGTAGTCTGATAGATAGTAGACATTTTTGTAGTCTAGTTCACTACTATGTATTAGACACATATGTATCTCTGAAGTTGATACTACTAGCATTTCCCTTTTATAGATGAGAAAATGAGATTCAACTTTTAATGGCAAGAGGTAGGATTAGTATCTGGCTTTGCTTGACTCCAAAACACTTAACCTCTATGTATTCAGTGTTCCAGAAACTCTCATCACTGAATCAGGAGGAACATGTAGTCATCTATGACTTTTGTGTCCCTAGCCTCCAAGGGAACTTTTAGAGGAAGAGTCTTAAGTTGGTTCCTTCCAAAGATTTCCATCTTATGAATTTAGGTAAATATTGAGGATGTCCAGATATGTCCAGGGATATGAAGGAGGAGATCAGAGGATTAGGGTACTAAAGAAAAATGGAGTGGAATGTGAATGAGTAGAATTAAGATGAAAGGGTGAATCAGCTAAGGACCCGGGACAGAACAGAATGTGACCACCACATCTCACCATGGTGCATCTCATGTAGGTATCACCCCAATGCTACAGCTGATCTGGGCTATCCTGAAAGTACCTGAAGATCCAACCCAGTGCTTTCTGCTTTTTGCCAACCAGGTTAGTTTGCTTTTCTCAATATTGAGACTTCAGAGTTGCTATGTGGGTATGGACATGAGCAGTGGACCCAGTGGGCAGAACTGGCCTAGTGCCTGTTCTAGTCTCTGAGCCAAGGCCCCTTCTGCCAGGTACAGGACCCTCTACTACAATAAGGAGGAAATAGGACTGAGCATTGACCCAGATTGCTTCCCTAATCCCCAAGGAAAGAAGAAAAGATTTAAGGCATCTAGTGCTAAGCAAAGACCCTTGGGTCTTCTTGGTTAAATATTTTACCTTTATTCCTTCATGATATCTAAATAAAGGCTGTTCCCCTCATCCTAACTCCTTAAAACTGCTGCAAGTGTTGCTTATTCCCTAGAACTTTAGCATGCCTTTAGCAGCCTTTTTCTCTCTTGGTTGGACAGTTGTAATAGCAGTGAACTTTTTTCTCTTTCTGTTCTATTCTTTTTTGAGATAGGGTCTCAGTATGTTGCCCAGACTAGTCTCAAACTCAAGATTCTTCTGCCTCAGGCTCCCAAGTAGCTGGAATTACAGGCATGCGCCACAACCCCTAGTCAGAGATCTTGTCTGATGTAGGCCTGAGAAGGTTTCTAAGACTCTGCTTTCCCTTTGCATTTCAGACGGAAAATGACATAATCCTGCGGGAAGACTTAGAGGAGCTGCAGGCCCGGTACCCCAATCGCTTTAAACTCTGGTTCACTCTGGACCATCCCCCCAAAGGTATCCTCCCCATTTCTGTGGATAATGATATCCCCTCATTATCAAAATCCAGGCATTGCCCCTCTGTAAGTTTTAGATTTACTGAAACCAACCTTCCCTGACACTGCCAAAGTCCCAAGTATGAGTACAGAGACACAGTGGTCTCCTGATCCCTTTCCTTTGGGTTTCTGTTTACCAGGTGGGCGACAGGGATAGCTGTAACTGCTGTTACAACCTGAGACCTTCTTAGGAGCCCTTCAGGGCCCTCTCCTATAATCCATTCTCATGGCACCACATTCCTATGCCAGCATGGGTCAGTTCTCTCTTTTCCTCTGTGCTTCAGATTGGGCCTACAGCAAGGGCTTTGTGACTGCTGACATGATCCAGGAGCACCTGCCTGCCCCAGGGGATGATGTACTGCTGCTGCTCTGTGGGCCACCCCCAATGATACAGCTGGCCTGCCATCCCAACTTGGACAAATTGGGCTATTCACAAAAGATGCGATTCACCTACTGATTCACCTACTGAGCACCTCCCAGCTGCCCTGGTCCCATGTCTGCAACTATACCCAGTCAGTACTCAAACACTACAAGCCCTAGATTTTTTTTCCAGAGAATGTCAGCCCTTGGTATCTTGCACTGGAACTACAATGTAGATGGTACCTGCAGGAACAACATTCCTGTAGCCATAGAAAAGGGCCAAGGCTTAGATATTCCCATCAAAGCCCTCAGATCTCCCTAGGATGAAAAGTCCAGGTGAGGCCCCTGGAGCAGTCTCATTCTTAAGGTTGAAAACAAGGAGTCATGTACATTTGTTCCAAGACTGGGCTGGTTCCTTGATAGCATCACATTCTCACCTTCTTTATGTCTGTGATAAAAGGAACAGATTATGCAGAAGGTTTTGCTTAGTCTTCAGTGCTTAAACCATGGGCAAATTCTGCTTATGTGATTGCAAGTTGATTTACAAAGGTAGTCTTCTAGAGAAAGTGAAAGGAAGAAATGGTTTCCTAAAAACTTCAGACCAAGAAGGAGTGTGAAATATGTTTTTGTGTCTTTCTCTCTCAGCCCCTGCCCAGGCTAGAGAGAAAGGGCTATCCATAATCTAAGATTGCTACTTACACAGGAACCTCTGGCTCTTAAAATAAATGGGCCTGAGGCCCCAATGTGATATATGAGGGGTTGTTGTGTTTCGGGTCCTTATTTCAAAATGCCTGCGGATCTTGGGAGAAAAGTCTTCCCAGCACAGAATCTCCTGGGTCTTCCAAAGAGCCTTTGAGCAGTTGTACTGTGTGCTGAAATGTGAGCTGCCACCAGACTCCGTGGTCATCTCAGCAGCTGTTTCTGCAGAGCCAGAGCTCAACTCTTCCCAGGCTTCTGAGGTGGGGGAAGGAGAACACATGCTAGAGAGACGTTTTTGGAGCATAGGTACCCCTCCCAATGGTCCTTTGATTTGGCCATTCTTCCCCTCTTCCTTCTCTTAGCCTTTCTTTCACATTTATTCTTCAGGTTATTTGGCAAACAAATCAAAGGATTGCCTTTCCATTTGGAAGGGAAGCCGTCTTTAAAAAGTAACCTGACATCACCAGCCCCAGACAGACTTAGTATCTGAACAAAGTTGGCCTCCCCCAGTACTCTCTGTCCCAAGCATCCTTCTCTGCTATGAGAGCATACCCCAATCCACTCCCTTCTCCCAGGATAAAACTGGGGAAGCCTCTTCAGATTTGTGTTAGGGTTATTGAGAGAAAACAATGCTTGCATTTAGGAGGGAGGCTGACATTGTTTTTCTTCATGGAACTGTGTGTTTCTGTCTATGGAGCCACTGAGAATGGCTGGTGGGATCCTCAGATTTTTCAGTCAACTCTGTTGGTAGTATTTCATCAAACATTTCTTGATGTGCTAGTATATATATGACATTGTATTTGGTAAGCCACCTCAAATACAGAAAGGGAAAAAATATATTTTTGGAATTGGAAATTCAATGCAGGGGCACTTTACCACTGTACATCCCCAGTCCCTTTTATTTCTGAGACAGGGTCTCACTAAGTTGCCCACCCTGGCCTTAAACTTGGGATCCTCCAGCCTAAGCCTCCCAAGCCCCTGAGATGATAGGCATCATGCTTAGACAGAAAGGAAAATCCTGCTTAGGATTACTGGGCTGCTAAGATAATTTTCTACATGGAAACTCACCAGTCCTTATTTCACACAAGACTGAGTGAGCCTCCTTCACTCAACATACACATATTTATTAAGGACCTGTCATATGGTAAACACTGTGCTGGGCCCTGAGGAGACCCTCCACGAAGAACTCACAATCCAAGGTAGACAAGTGACAAATCATTACAATACAGTGTGATTGATACTATTGCAGAGTTGAGTGTGGTGGCACACTCCTGTAATACCAGTGATTCTGGAGATTGAGGCAGGAGGATTTAAAATTTGATACCCAGCCCTGAAATCTGGGCTCAGGATGTAGCTCAGTGGTAAAACACTGGGTTCTATCCCCAATATTCCAAACAACCAACAAACAAAAAATTATCACAGAGATACATACGAGGTATAGACAGGAAGGGGTTGAGAAAGATTCAGAGAAGGAGGAAGAGAAAAAAGGGAATTATCATCTTTGAGTTAACATTCATGTACCAGGTACTGTGCTAAGAATTTATGCTAATCCTGTGGGTTGAAGATTAAGATTTGCCAAAGGAAATACAACTGGCCAGTGGCTGATGGAACCTGAATCTGAATTTAGGATTGTTTGGGGCCAACTAGAACTGGGCTTGGATCTTTCATCAGACAACTGGGCAATGTGGGGTAGGCAATTCAGCAAAAGGTTTAGAATGTGCAAAAACTACATGAAAGAGAAGTTTGCATTTGGAGAATCTAGAAGTTCACTGAGGCCCAAAATTCCAGAAAGAGAAATGGAAGAAGATGAATCCTGACAGTAGGTTAGAATTAGCTTATAAAGGACCATGCTGAAGAAACTAACTCAAAGCTGGTGGATAGCAGGAAGCTTCTGAGGGTTTTCTCAATGGTCAACACAGTAACAGCTCTTGTTTATGAAGCATTGACTATTTGCCAGCCATAATACTAAAAGCCTGCAAAAATGATCTCATTTAACCCTGACAAAGGTCTAATGAAATAACATTATTTTCCCCATTTTCAGCTGGGGTAATTATCATTTAGAGGGGTTCAGTAATATGCTTACGATCATAGTCTAGCTAGGAAAAGGAAACTAGATCTGTGTGACTCCTGAGCTCACGCTTGCAGCCAGCACCAACTGATCCCACTGCCTTGATGTGTCCACGCAACATAATGAGCTCCTTTCTCTGCATCTGGGATGGAGTTAGTGCACACCATCCTTGGGAGAACAAGAAAAATGGTGTACCCCATAGATCACTTCGGTGTTGTGTGGTTCATGGGTGTCAGGGTTGCCCCACCCTACATTGCCTCCCAGATATGCCCTTTGGGTGCACGTGGGAGCAGGATCTATGGTTGGGAATTCTCAAGCTAGACTGGTTAAAAAAAAAAAAAAATCCCGCCGTTTCTGAAGAGAAATAATAGGAGCCAAAACAAAAGTCTAGCTCAGCGCCTGGCACAAGGAAGTGGGTAGGGAGGAGGAAACCACGAGACTCGAGAGGTATTAAGAACTGTTCCGGAGATGAAACGATAGGCGTTGAAAATAGGAAAGATGTAAGTTATTTCTCGTCCTAGACAAGGCGTTTGATAGGAAATTATGCATTCCTTCCCAGGGTACGGTCTAATTCTCTGGAATTGCTTCTCCATCACGCGCCGCCGTTGGAGCCCGGCGAGGTAGGGTCTGCAATTGGACCGCGCGAGCGCCAAGCTGGGGGCGGTCGGCACGAGCGATTGGAGCAGAGTCGGGAGGTGGGCCCCTCCGGGAAGGCGGGCCCGTGGGGCGGGGCCTAGGGAGCCGGCCCGCGATTGGGACACTGGGAGGAATGCCTGGGATTGGAGGGGGCGAGGTAGAGCCTCGAGGAGGTGACGCGGCTGCGGAGGTGACGCCGTGTGGTCGCGCGCCCCTTCCGGCGCTGGGAAGGCGCTGAAGATCCCGGGCCGCTCGGCCGCAGGCCGCCTCCAGTGCCGCGGGATGTAGCTGGGGGACCGCGGCCCCCAGCAGAGCCTGCCCACCCGGCCGTAAGTTTCCTCGGGGCTGGCCGGTGGGCGGGGACTCGGCCTGCGCGCGGACTCCGGCAGCCCGAGCCCAGGCCTGAGAAGGGGACAGCCGCGAAGTAGCCCGCCTCGAGGTCCCCAGGGTCCCCGGCTCCGAGCTGGAGCGGGCGCGGGCCTCCCGGCTTCCCGGCGGTCGGGCTGGTAAACATTTCCGGCCCCTCCCACTGCGCGCCGCCTGCGAGGCGGCCTCCAAATCCGCAGCCCCGGTGCGGGTGGGCTGCTCGTGCCCAGCTGTCCCCCGGCGCCCGGCATCCCTGGTGAGTGCTGTGTCCTCAACCCCACGGGGGTTGGGACGCCCGGGTTCCGGCCCTAGTCGTTACCGGACGACCAAAGCTGAGCCTGCGAGTGGGGGTGCGGGCCTGGGTTGCAGAACCTCCTCCACTCTCAGCCGGGAGCACCCACCCGCCCTGGGTGGCCGCGGGAGCGTAAGGCTCCCAGACCTCTAGTCTTCGGCGAGTCAGACCTGACAGTACTCTCATCTTGATGTGGTCGGGGGCGGAGATTGGTGGACAGTTGTCGTAAGGTAACCCTAAAAGCTGAAATGTGAGCAAAATCCAAACTACTTTGGGGAAACGAAATTTCATTCTCTCAGAGATCTAGGATTGATGTAGGCTGAATTGGGGTCTTCACGCCCTTGGTGTTTACGAAAGTAAAATAGATAAGTGCTTTCCCTCCGTTTCTGGTGCTTCTTGGGAGTATAGGAAATTGACAGGAAGAATTTGGGTTTACAGTTTCTGATGTCAGCGGAGCAAAAGGAGGCCTTGGTACTCTACTAAATTAACCATAGCATTTCCCTCAAGTATTTGGAAGATAGATTAGGAAGCACCACGGTGAATATTTAGGCTGCTGTCTTCGATCAAAAGAGGATGGAGATGGTTGGTTCTTTTCTAAGCTGAAGTAATAATGGGGTCTGTCCACTGCTTTTCTCTTTTGATAGTGGCTGGTTAGGGTATGATGGTGCAACCACTGTTCCTGAGATGTTATAGAATCTGTTCACTGCCAGGAATTTAGACAGGGTGGCGCTAAACAGATTGCAATGTCAGGGTTCCCGGCTTGCAGCCACTAAATTTCTTTATTCTAGGAGTAATTTCTATGGACCCATAGTGTGGTTGGTACTTGGGGACTCACTCTTAAAATTGGGGATATCTGTGGAAGTCCATCTTAACATAGACCTTTACAAAATTATCTAATTACAGAGTAGAACCCGAAAACATTTTGTTCTCAGTGGTCAGGAAATGACATGATTCCTAGGGAGTAAATAAATAAATAAGTGACCACTTTGCCTATAAGTAGGAGAGAATCTTAGAAAACTAACAGGAAGCAACAAGGCTCACTCCCCATTGCTAATGGATAAAGAATACCATCATAAGCAGGCTTTTAGGCTATCTTCAGTTTCTTCAGTCTGGCCTCATTTTACCTAAAACTCCCTTATGGAAAAGTGAATTATTCGTGTCTTAGGGGCTGTGTTCTTTCCTGCCCTTGTTTACATTCTGTACCCTCCTGGAATGCCCTGCTTCCATCTTTACTTATCAAGACCCTTTTTAAAAATCCTTCCACAAAGCTGGGTGCAGTGGCAAATGCCAGTAATCCCAGCATCTCTGGAGGCTGAGGCAGAAGTATCTCAAGTTCAAACCCAGCCTCAGCAACTTAGCGAGGCCCTAAGAAATTCAGCAAGACCCTATCTCTAATAAAATATAAAAAGGGCTGGGGATGTGGCTTTGTGGTTAAGAGCCCCTGGGATCAATCCCTGGCACCCCGCCCCCCCAAAAAAATATCCTTCCACAAAACTTAGTCTGGTAGTGGTGTTATAAGAAAACAACCATTATTTCCCCCTCTTAAAATGGAAGTCAGCAGCTCCTTCAAGCTTCTGACTCCTCTGTTTGCCTTTTCTCTGTAACCACATCATATATATTGTATTAACCAGTGTAGTCTCAGATTAATAAAGAAAAGAATTTGCCCTTCTTTCTAGGCTAGTAAATTTGTTCTC